ATTTGCATTGCCATTTGAATTTTAGAGTTACCTTTTTAATATCTGCCAGAAAAAAAAATCTGCTAGGATTTTTATCATGATTAAATCTACAGATAATTTTTAGCAGAATTGGCCATCTAAAATACTTAGGATTCTAGTCCATAAACATGGTATATCTCCCCATTTATTTAGGTCTTCTTTGATCGCTCTGTAAAACATTTTGTAGTTCTATATTTTATTAAACATATTTCTAAATGTTTTACGATTCATTATGGTATTTTTAATTTACAATATTTTATGTTAATATATCTAAACATATTTTTGTATATTGATATATTGTCATGTAATCTTACTAAAATCACACAAGATGTAAATGCCTTGCTATTTTTTCCACAGAAAATTATGTCATCTGTGAGTAAAGACCGTTGTACTTTTCTTTCCAATCTGCATGTCTTCTTCTTGCCTCACTGCAGTAGCTAAGTCCTCTAGTACAATAGTAAATAGAAATGGTAAGAGCAAACATCTATGCCTTGTTTTCATTCTTTGGGGGTATTTTCCCACTAAGTGTAACTTTACAGTGGGTTTTTTATGGATGCTAATTAACAGGTTGAAGATATTCCCTTCTATTGCTAGTTTGTTTAAATCAATATTGGACCTCATAAAATTATTTTTAATTCAAATGATTTTATGGTTCTTGCCTATATCCTGTTAATATGACTAAATCATGTTGGTTTTTAAACATCAAACTAACCCTGTGTTACTGAGATAACTCTCACTTGATGATAATATCCCATTCAGAAATGTGAGAAAATAAATTTTTGTTCTTATAAATTACTTAGCCTTAGGTATTTCATTATAGCAACACAAAACAGACTATACTGTTATTTTAATTTTTCACATTAAAACTTGTTTCATGGCCCACTTATTGTCTATCTTGATAAATGTTTCTTGTGCACTGGAAAAGAATGAGTATTTTCTTGTTGAGTAGAATATTCTATAAATGTTAATTACGTCAAGTTAATTAGGTCAACTTGATAGTGTTGTTTCAATCTCCTTTAGCCTTACTAATTTTCTCTACACTTTTTAAATAAATTATTGAGAAAAGGATGTTGGAACCATTGACAATAGTTGTGGGTTTGTTGATTGCTCCATGCAATTCTATTCATTTTTGTTTCCCATATTTGACACTTCTGTTATTAGGTGCAAAATATCATGAATTTTATTATGGATTAGTTAATCCCTTTATCATTAAGAAACTACGCTCTTTTTCCCTATTAACGTTATTGGCTCTGAATACTATTTTATTTGGGATAAATATAGCTTTCTCTAATTTCTTTTATTTAGCATTAGCAGGGTATATCTTTTTCTATTCATTTACTCTTAACCTATTCATTTCTTCATACTTCACAAGTGTTTTCTATTTGTTTCTTTGTCAGCATTATATAGTGCGGCATTGTTATTTTATTTGATTTGAAAATATCTGCCTTTTAATGGGGCATTGAGGCCATTTACATTTATTATATTTCTTAATATATTTGGGTTAAAATCTATCATCCTGCCATTTATTTCTTATTTATCCAAATTGTTCTTTTATTCTCTCTTTCCTATTTTTCTGCTTTATTTCAAATTTACTCTTTTTATAATTCAATTTTATCTTACTTGTTGACTTATTGTAAGTCTTTGTTACATTATTTTAGTGGTTGCTTTAGAGCGTAGAGTATACAGTTTTAACTCATTACAGTCCACCTTCAAGTCATAGTATACTGCTGCAAATATAGTATAAGAACCTTATAACAGTACACTTCCATTTATTCTCATTTGAATTTTGTACTACTGTTCCCATGCTGTTTACATGTTTACATGCTATAAATCTCACACTACATTTTTCTGTTTTGCTTTGAACAGTTAATTCCTTTTTAAAGAGATTTATAGAGCAAGAAAAATAGTCTTTATACTTGCCCATGTAGTTACTGTTTCTGGTGGTCTTTATTTCTTTTTGTAGATTTGGATTTCCATCTGGGGTAATTTTTCTTTTGCTTGAAGTATTATCTTTTAACATTTCTTGAACTGTAGGTCTGTTGCTGAAGAATTATTTAAGCTTCTGTGTGACTGAAAAATTATTCAATTTTCCTTTGCTCTTGAAAGATATTTTTGTTGAATATAGAATTCTAGGTTGATTTTTTTCTTTCAGAACTTGAAAAATTCTGCTCCACTATCTTCTAGTTTTCATCCTTTTTGGTAGGAAGTCCATGTAATTCTTATTTGTGTTCCTCTGTATGCAATGCATCTTTTTAAATTTGGCCGTTTTTAAGAATATCCCTTTATTACTTTTTATAATAATTTGATTTTATATACCTTGGGGTAGTTTTATTCTTATATCTTTTGCTTGGAGCTTCTTAGATCTGCTACTCTAGCCTGCTAATTCTGGATACTTTGGTCTTTCTGAACTTACACCTTTGTCTCCTCAAGTCAGGAACCCCTGCCTGGTTGCTCAATTCTTGTACTGTGGCCTGGAAACCCTTTTCAGTCAGTAAGCTATAGCAATAATAAGAATTCCCTGTTTTGTTTCCATTCTCTCAGGGATCACAGTCTTTTCTGCCTGACATTCAATTTTTTTTATTTTATAAATTTTTTCTGCTTTTTAAATTGTTTCATGCAGAAAAGTAAATCTAGTTCCTATTATTCCATATTTGTTGAAAATCAGGAGCTAACTTTTATTGGACATCTACTATACACAAATCAGATTCATTATTTCATTCAATTCTATCAGAAAACCTATGATAAAGATACTTCTAACCTATTTTACCAATGAAGAAACCAAGGGTTAGGACAGGATTAATGACTAAAGTCACGTATTCTATAAATGACAGATTATTTGATTCCAGATGTGTTTTGACTACAAAAGACATGACGCCACATAAAACAGAGAGAATTGTAGAAAACTACATGAATGTGCATTAAAAATCTATTCTGTAAATTTTACTTTAATCAAAACTACTTTACTAAACAGTTTGAACCACTTTCTCTAGTGGTAGAAGCAAGGACATAATCTGAGGATGATAGTTTTACACTTCCAATCACTATTTTTGCTGATTTTCTTTCTTGTTCCTTAATGATATCCTAGGAAGATTCTACACATTTCTGGCCACTTAGTTTATTTATTTGTTTTTTTTAAAAAAAAGGTTCGTTCCACTTTGAAACTCCAATTTCACACATAATTTAACCCCCTCCTCACTGGACTCCAGGAGGTTTGGAGATGGAAACGGAGGATTATCTTCTCTATCATTCTTCCTCCTCTCCTTTGTCTTTTCAACACTAACCACTTTAAGGTCATGGTCTAGGAGGCAGAGCTCTTCCTACATAAATGCCACATTTGTGATGCTAAGGCATGACTGGCCTTTTCTATCTATTCTTGTGTTTCATGTTCCCTTAGATAGATTTTCCTGTCTATTCTTTGTGTTCCCATGCTCTCTGCTTTCAAGATGTGTGGTTTTATGAGGGAGTTCATCTTCACTCAGATCCCTTCTGTCTTTGCCTCCTTCTGGCCCTGCCTGGGATTCCATTTCCCCTCCGGATAAAGCACTATCTTCCAAGAAGAGCACTGTGATGGCTGTGCCATGATTTCCACCCCCTCGTATAATCCCTCTGCTCCCTCCCATGAAGCCAGGTCCTCTCTGTCATTCTCAGAGGGCTGAGAGTAACTAGGAGAGCTTTAGCCACCATTCTTTTCCTAGGCACTCCACACTAAGGTTCCTTCTTGCCCTTCAGCCATAGATTATTTCTGCAAGCCTTTCCTCTTCAGTTCCCTCTCAAAATGACATCCAGGAACCAAGTTTTCTAAGAAATCTCTCGCTGTCATCAGCTATAGTGGCAACAAAGGGATGAAATGGGGGCTGCTCTATTGTTCTGCAGTCAACAAGCCTCTAGCTGGGGGTACGATCCCAAGCCCAGTCTCTCCTGTGTCATCTCATTCTCTCAGATAATGTTCTTGGAATTCCACCTCATTCATTTAAATTCTGGAGGCGAAGGAATTACCTCATGAGAAAGGATGGGAAAGGAACTACCTCCTGCTGAGAGAACAGCGTGCTCTTCCTCCCCTGCCACCCCTGTGTAATCTCCTTATAATTATTTATTTGCTGGGCAATGATTGTGGTTAGTAGGGCCTGTTTAGCCACCTGCCTCTCAGTAAACTCTGGGGGATTATCAAGCCTCAGTGTTGACGGCTCTATTTAGACTGTGGCATATCAGCGCCTCTTATTTTCAGATGGAGCTCCAAGGCAACAGTAAAAATCCCACTCAGTATCTTGTTATATAAACAATAGTTCTGCTCGGCCTTCAGCTGTAAGCTCTTCAAAATATAAGCACAAAAGTTTCTTTTAATTTTACTTTGCTTAGTGCTGCCTTCACCACTTTGAAAATCTTGATAAGCACTGAAGTGCACTGAGCATTTAGAGAGGCCTGGGGAAGGTCAGTATGGTGTGCAGTAATGCAAAATAAACAAATTAACTTCTCTCCTGCACAAAGTGTGCACAGTCATGACAGAAAACAACAGAGTGCTTTCTTATGAGGCTGACCTGCTTTCCAAGAAGTAGGAATGAGGGTTAGGGAAGGGAGGTGTGGCAAAGAAAAAGAAAAAGGAGGAAAAGGAGGAGAAGAGAGAAAGGGTGAGAGAGAGAGGCTGAGAACACAGTTAGACACTCATTGCTTTCATTCCTGGCTCCCATGGACACAGCCTAGAAGGAGTGCTGTGGGCCCCTCTGGGGACAGGCTTGAAGCTGGCAGGGTTCTTTACCCACAGAGCTATTTAGAGCTCTGGCCTCTCTAGCAGGAATTGGTGCCATCGCCCAAGGAGCTAGCATTCCTGACCAGGGGAGGTAGGGAGGGAAGAAGAGAGCTTTCAAGTGTGTTTAACATTCTCCTCCCAGCCCTCTCCAATGGTCTCCCTCCGTTCTTTCTTCAAAACACCAGACTCATAAGTTTACTGAAGAAAAATAAACTCTTGAATCCAGACTCAGCCTGACAGACATAGTCTCATGGTGAGAGCCTTGGATTTGGAGGTGAGTTCCACCAGCCCTGTTCTTTAATACAAGTTTAGTCTATGCTTTAGACTTTAAAACAAATGCCTTAAAATGTATTTCTTTCCCGTATCCTGACCTTATTCTCCTTTTTAATGTTAAGCTTTTTTCTGTATTATAATCACCAAAACTTTTATTGATAGCAATCTATTTACATCCTGAGCACATATTGTGCTCTTAGCTCTGAGATAAGCATTATAAAGACTCAAAGGAGAGAAAAACATGTCCCTATTTTGAGGAGAAAGAAGTAGGTGTGGGCTTAGACATCACAGTACATGGAGGGAGAAGAGCATCTAAAGTCTGAGAAGATGGACGAGAAGAGGAGCTTTCGCCCAATCTAAGCAGCTTTCCCGGTGTTCCCCAGACTACTCATCGTGGATGCTGTTCTACTTTATAATCAGGATACCCCGCTTTTTGAGAAAGCCCCTTGAGAGTAGGAACTGGGTCTCATTCACCATTATCCTTAGCTTTTAGCATAGGCTTATAGTAGGATTACAGGCTGAATGAACCTATGCATACGTGAATTAATGAACTGGCAGGATGGTGGGGGAGGAATGGCTGTTTCCTAAGTTCCCAAATCCTCTCCAGACCTCTGAGCAGCCTCTTTGAGGGTAAGAAACAGTGAAAGAGGCTTTTCTTCTTGGGTAAACAATGCCTTATATATGTAGACTGCCTTTTTTTTTTCCCAAAGTTGTTCATACACTTCTCACTTGATCTTCACAGAAATCTGATTGGGAGCTGTATTGGGGGGGCCTATTGTATTGTATCACTACTTTATTGACAAGGAGGCTGAGGCTCAGAGGAATGACTACCCTCAATCCTGTGTTACTCTGGAAACTCATTTAACGATAGTGGGATTTCATCTGATGAGGCAGTTGTGGTTTCAGAAATACACAGGTTCAACCGCTGATCTCTGATTAAAAGCCAAGGGTCAGCGTCCCAGTCTTCCAATATCAGGTTAGCTGTGGTGCCTTCTTGTCTCTAGACCCTGAAGAAGATGGAGAGGCACATGATCAGGGGACAACTGTATAAGCACTTTGATTTGGAGAGGAAGAATGCCAAGCAGGCTGAAGCCAGACTGGACCAAAGACTGCAGAGACTGGAGTATATCTGCCTCTACCATATGAAATTGCTGACCTGGGAGCAGAAGCAGCTCCAAAAAGAACTGCAGAGGTTACGGCAAGGTAAGACTTTCAGGACTGGGGAGCAGGTTGCCCCAGAGGCACAGCAGGGCAGCAGGTCTGTCACTCCACTGAGGCCCTTTCAGAGCCCTGAGTGCCAAGACAGCAAGAGCTTCTGATCACAGCCTGGATTTTAGGCTGCCTACCTCCCTTGTCCCTCTCCCATCAATTACATAGCTCCCCACAGCAGCCCACTCTTAAGCCTTCCTGAGCTAACATTTCTCAGGCTTCCAGTCACTGCCACCTTCCAAAGTAGCTCTTGCTTGCTTAAATCCTTAGTTTTCTCCTTTGAAATTTTATTTTTCATTTTGCTTTTCTTACATTATTTGGGGTTGATTTTGTTTCACTCCTTTTTAAATATCTGATCTTTCTCTTTTGGATCTAACAACAATTTATTGAGCAGTTACTAATGTATAAGTCACTGTCCTAGCCCACTTTATGAAAGTTAAAAAAGAAAACGAAAGAAAAGAAATAATTTCCCTGGAATTAGTACCTCAGCTTCCTCCAATGTAAAATAAAAATATTTTCTACCTTATGGAGTTTATTTGAGGATTCAGTGAGCACTTGGAATAATACCAAAACAAAAAGTAAGTGCTATATAAGTACCCACTCTTATCAATTAAAAATTGTTACAGAATTGAAACTCTTCTACTGTTTTTGTTGAAAATTGTCACAGTTGTACAGTCTGTAGAAACTAGTTCTCCTTTGTTCATCATTAAAACAAGTAGATTTTAATATTACTTAAAAATTCAGCACAGGACAGGAATATCTCAGTCTTGAAGACTACATCCTTTCTTACCGAAGGCAAGTGCCAGAACTCAGGAGCATATCCAAGAGGAAGGCCAGGTGCTGTAAATGAACATAAAATCTTTCAGGTCAACACAGCTAATACATGACACAAAGGCCAAGAGTAACAACCAAATGTCTAGCCTGGGAATTCTTTCTAACTTCCAGCTTTGGGTTTGAAAGATGACTCTGAACAAGTAATTGAACTCCTCTGCTTTCAATTTCCCTGTCTGCAATAAATGGTTAAACCAACCTAGAATGAGAGCTCACATACTGGAAAAGGGTCTCAGAAGCCATTGGATGGATTCCCACTCTTATTCAAAAAGGACACTGAAGCTCAGATGCCTACCTTCAGGAGGGTGCACAAAAGGCCAAGCCCTACATAAGTGGCTGTCCTTGCTGAGTAGAGAGTTAGGCTGGAAAGTGTATGAATCAGGAGACATAAAACCTTGATTCAGGTGCTTCTGCCTCCATGTCCTTTGGTAGGACATATCCTCTCAAAGCCTCAGACTTCTCAGTAAAACCGGGGATAAAGGAAGGAAGCAATATGTATTAATTCTCAATATTTCTTAGGCACTGTGCTAGGCAATAGTTTTCCATGATTCATTTAAATAAAATTGTTATTGGGATTTAATTATATGCCAGTGAGTGGATTATTTAAGATTCATGTTGCCAGTCCTTTGAGTCAGCCAGTTAGAAATTAGGCTTAAAAATCCACATTTTCAACTGAGACGATACTAAGGCAGATTATTCTGGGAAACGTGTTTTTCAGACCAGACTTTGCAAAACAGCTACTCAGATAGAGTCTGGAATGCAAATATGAAAAACCATGGTCTCTGCCCTCACAGTGCTCATATTTAAATTGGAGAGTAGTTCTACTTATAAAAAATGATGACCAACACTGCTAACAAAGTTCCTCACAAAGTAGGGCAGGAACATAAAAAGGTTCCTGTGTCTATCAAAAGGCTTTAGCTAAGATTTCCCAAAAGACGCAGTGTGTGAGCAGAATCTTAGAGGAGGGGGAGAATAGGGGAAAGGGTGGGAAGTTTATCAGGAGGATGTGTAGAATGGGGCTACTCCCGGCAAAAGGAATAGTATGTAGAAAAGCACATAAATGACCACTGCTTGCTTCAAATAACTCAGTACTGCGGGCATGTGACATGGAAGTGGGGAGGAGGAGAAGGTGTATGTGCAGTTTTCAGAGACAACACAATATAGCCAACGTCTCCAATCCAATCCAATCATGAATGGCTTCACAGGTCTTGCAAAAGAGTTGAGAGTTCACCCTATAGGGTTTGAGACTGGTGAAGAAGATTCCATGCTCAAATGTTAAAAAGATCACTCTGGATGCAACATTTAAGGTAAAATAGAGCTTAGGCTATAGTCAGAGTAGACCTGATAGAATTACAAAATTCAGGCTGTGGTTTCAAGACCTAAACCAGAGCACTGGTCAGGTGAAGAAAATGAGAAGACCAGCATCTCAAGATGTTTACAAAGTAGAACTGTCAGAGCTTTATAACTAAACATATGTCCAAGGGTAAAGAAAATCAGTCAAAGTATATTGCCTGGCAATAAGTGGGCACTCAAATGAGCTTGTTAAATTTGATAACGGGGTGGGTAGAAGTACCATACCTTCAAAGAGAGAACACTGGCGAAAGATCAACTTTCTGAGAAAAGATATGTCCATTTCTGAACCTATTGACCCTGTAGGTCTAAACTTCAGAAGACAGACCTTGCTGGGAGAAGAAGCTCAAAATCCCTCAGTTTATCCATATAAAATTGAAGTCTTTACATGGAAGAGACCCCCAGAAGAGAGGTTCACAAAGAACTCCCTTGTTCTGGTTGCTTCACAAACAGGTGGCCAGATGAAAGAGTATTAGGAGTTCAGTGTGAATTCTAGGTTCCCTATCTGGCCATACTCCCTCTGCTTCGTGCCTACTAACGGAATTGTAGATTTAAAGAATTCTTTCCCATTAGAGCAAAACTTGTTCAAGACTTTCATCTCTAAATGACCAATTCATGAGATGTCTTGAAAACTAATTGAGTTCTCCATAGCAGCTATGACTACAAGATGTTAAAACATCAGCTCAACAAGTCCACTTAGTCATGGCTGGCAGTTGCAAACTCACAGATGGGTAGGAGGTCACATAATTGCAGTGAAAGTGACAATCCACTCACACCCAGTCATTTTGTTTTTAAAAACGTTGTGTTTGCCAAGTAAAACTTCAAAGGAGAACTTCATGGGCTTAGCCAGTTTAAACCTCTGATCTTGGTGTTTCTAAATCCTCTTTAACATATTCTAGGTAAACACTGGAAAACTGCTTTATGTTTTTCTGTTTCCATCTATCTCAGCGGATCAGCCTAATGTGTAATATAAACCAAGGTTTATACACACTGGTTCTCTGAAAGCCCAGTTTGCAGAATTCTGTTTCTTCTTCTTATATCAGTTTTCTAGGGCTGCCATAACAAAGAACTACAAACTGAGTGCCTTAATCAACAAAAATGTATTGTCTTACAATTCTAGAGTCTGGAGGTTCAAAATCAATATGTCAGCCATGTTGGTTCCTTCTGAAAACGGTGAGGGAAGGACCTGTTGCAGGCCTCTCTCCTTGGCTTACAGACAGCTGTCTCCTCTTAGTGCTCTTCCTGTATGTGTCTGTGTGGTCAAAGTTCATTTTCTTATGAGGACACCAGTAATATAGGATTAGGACCCACTCTAATGACCTCATTTTAATCTAATTATCTCTGTAAAGACCTTATCTCTACATAAGGTCCCACTGTGAGGTAATGGGGGTTAGGACTTGAACATAAAAAATTTGAGAACACAATCCAACTCAAAATGCTTCTTCATTAACTCAAAGCAGAAACCATGAAGAAACATTTCTCCTCTTATTTGGGGAATGGAATTCAGAAGAGACCAGAAGATGTTCTCATGTTCTCATCACAGGGAGGGCAGAAGCACAGAGTCCCACAGGCTAAGAAAATGAGGTAAGAAATAGATTGCTAAGCTCATGGGTATGACACTAAGTCGCTCTTCCCAACTGACCTCTTTAAACTGGTTTCCTGAGGAAATGCTCCTTTACCCTTCTTAAGCGAGACATTTTCCCCGCATTGTTACCACTCAATTTCACCCTCCACCCCATTCCCACTCATATTACCTTGGCTGATACTGATGGGAGCCACATTCTAATAAGCTGAAAGATCTAAAGAGCCTCTTCATTGGTTTTCTTTCTTTTGTCTCCTTTCTTAGAGCATCAGCAACCAGTATGACCCAAGACACATACAAAAGCAAGTCCCAGGTGCCTCCTTCACATGATGCTGGCCTCAAAGACCCCATGAGGAGCAAAGAGCAGCCACTCTCTCAAAATAACAGAACTGCCTGCTTCATAAAAGAGCATCCACAAGCCCAAGAGAAAGATTCTGTGAATCCACCTAAGGACATAGACTCCAACAAGGGCGTCTATGTTCTATGCCAAGATCAAGCGGTTTCCACCAACACCACAGAACAAGTTCCTAGTTCCAGCCCAACTACTGATAGTGGAATAGTACATGCTGATGAAACCAGATCAAAAGATGTTGCTCTAAAGCCAGATAGGAACACTGGAAAACAAATGCCCCCAAATCACGTGGAATGTGCAGGAAGCTTCCAAGGCGAGTTCACAAAGCCAACCTTCTTAGAGTTGCTTTCAAAGGCCAGAAATGCCCATTATCTCCGGCACAGGGTCCCTCCTGAGTCTGAGAGGTTGCTTAGCATTGGGGAGATATTTGGGCATGAGGAATCCCCATTGTCCAGGGCAGGAGAGGAGTGTGAAAACAGGGTCCCTTCTAAGTTTCTTCCTCTATAACCATTTAACATAGCCTGACAGTAACATATGCCATTATTGCTAAGGAAATGTGCTCCTCAAATGACTATGTTAAGCAATACAGAGAAAAACAAACAAACATAATTGAATTACAATTTTATTTTAAACTCCCTATTTTTTTTTCCGGGAATATAATATTTCTTAGCCGGGTGCAGTGGCTCATGACTATAATCCCAGCACTTCGGGAGGCTGAGGTGGGCAGATCACCTGAGGTTGGAAGTTCGAGACCAGCCTGACCAACATGGAGAAACGCTGTCTCTACTAAAAATACAAAATTAGCTGGGTGTGGTGGCACGTGTCTGTAATCCCAACTACTCAGGAGGCTGAGACAGGAGAATCACTTGAGCCTGGGAGGTAGAGGCTGCGGTGAGCCCAGATCACACCACTGCACTCCAGCCTGGGCAACAAAAGCAAAACTACGTCTCAAAAAAAAAAATTATTGAATGAACGATGCTAATATATGAAAAAGGAGAGAAGGAATGAATCTTCTGAAAATATTTTAAGTGATATGTTTATAATGTCATCAAAAATATGAATACATATTGATGACTGGACTTGATGGGAAAAATACTAAGAGTCCTGCTTTCAGGGACTTCCTGTTTCTTCTAGGAGATTCTCATGGTGCCACCTGCTGGCAAAATGGCATAGCTATTCTCTTTGTTTTGGTTTGATAGATAGTAGCGGTAGAAATGGGGATGTGATTGTAAATATGTACTGTAACGTGGTCCATAAAGAAAACCTGCTCTTTAACCACAGCCGTGTGCTCTCTTTGGAAGCTCTTTCCTTCTTTCCTTTATTTCCAGATAGCTCCATTTTAATTTTCTCCTTCCTACTTTCAACCTGCTCATATCAGATTTTTGTAATCCTGTTGAAAGAATAATGGACAATCTGTTTCCTTTCATATCTCCTAGAATCAAAGATTTAAAAAACTTTTAATCATCTCCCAACATGCTGTCAAATGCATAGCAGATTCTATCGAAACTATTTCACTGTAAAATGAGAGGCACTAACATCTTTAACAAGTTCTTGTTTCAAGTAGGCCTCTCCGACTTGGGCTACACTGTCAAAGAATCTGCTAGATTTTGTTTCCCATCCAAAGGGTCCAAATATTACCCTAAAAGTAAGTAGCATCATAAGTCATCAGAAAAAATAGCTTTTTGTTAATGCATTTTAAACTTATTGTCCACCTAATGAAATAGAGAATAAAATCATCACCACTTTTTATTTTTTCCCCCCAAGACAGAGTCTTGCTCTGTCGCCCAGGCTGGAGAGCAGCGGCTCAATCTCAGCTCACTGTAACCTCTGCCTCCTAGGTTCAAGCGCTTCTCCTGTCTCAGCCTCCCAAGAAGCTGGATTACACGTGCGCACCACCATGCCCAGCTGTATTTTTTTGTATTTTTAGGAGAGACAGGGTTTCACCATGTTAGCAAGTGTGGTCTTGAACTCTGACCTCATGATCCACCCGCCTCAGCCTCCCAAAGTGCTGGGATTATAGGCGTGAGCCACTGTGCCCAGCATCACCACTTTTTATCTATACTGACTCTATTAGGAAAACCAGCTTGAACCTGTAGGTCTCAAAGAAATTATGCCTCTATTGGTAGGTAAATTCAAATCTTCAACCCGATAACAAACTTTAATTACAGAAGAATAAACTTCAGGGTGTATTTCATATTTGGAATCAATAATTGACATAACTCAGCCTCAGATATTTTGATGAAACAAGATTATTTAGCTCAGAAATGATAAAGGACCTCAATCTACTAATATTACAAAGGGCCTGAAATGAAGATTAATTCATATTTAATTTATAGTTCATTAAATATAAATTCAAAGTACACTTAATTTGAAAACATTTCATTTAATTCAGATTTAGAATTCCTGTGTTTAAAATAGTAATTCCTAATAGCTCCTATTTTTCAGTACCTCCCCACATCCTGACACATTCCACACAACATGTTAGCCGGTCCTCAGGACAATGCTGCAGAAGAGCTTTCTTTATCCCCATTTTACAGATAAGGAAATTGAAGGAAGAGTGGTGGCAACTTGCTAATAGATGACAGACAAGCATTTCATCTCTCCTCAATTTCCTTGCTTACGCTCTTTCATTACACCTCACTACCACCTCTCTGAAGACAAAAGCTTATATCAAACATATGAGAGTTAGTTTCACTAGCCCACCCTCCCCTTCAGTGGGGAGACAATACTTCACAGTGAAAAGAACACAAGAAATCTGCTCCCCGCAACATTTTCTTCCATGAAGCAAACCAACAGAGGACGGCGGGCCACAGGGGACAGAACCGATTCACAAAAACTTAAATTTATTTGCACTAGCCATGCCTGGGCCCGCAGAAATAGGCACACACCAATCAGAGAACCCCTTTGTAAACCACTCAAGCTCTTTCCTATGTTATTTCTTCTTGTCTTCTACACAAGCCTTGCCTATTGTCATCACAATTTTCCTCCAAGGCTGAGTCCTGAGTGAATGGGTTGTCACTGCTAAGTGGGTCTTTTCACTGTACTAGCCCTAACAGGGGGAAGGGGCCATCGCAAGGCAGCAGGGAGCCAGACCCAGCCCAGGCTTCCGCTCGACTTGGTTCTACCAACTCTGTTCCAAGTCCACCTCACTCCCGCCATCTACCAAGGTGAACATTCTGCATGTTCCTCCTTGCTACCTTATTTGTGTCTTCATGTACATCTGACAGACCCAGATCTGTCTGCACTTCTAAAATCAATATTTTATTACATCCTGTTTTAAATAATATTTCATGCATTGTCACAAAATTGTACATTTAAAAATCTTCCGACCACCTAGATTTTATCTTCTTATCATTTAGCCTAATACATTTTTCTTCTTCAATACAATGAATACAATATTCTGATTAGTACAACTTAACACAATCAAAGAGAATGCTGCTGCATGGAGCCTTTCCTGCGTAACTCATTACATTCTAAGGAACAGTTTAAATCCTTAATCCTCACGTGGCACACTGTGCTCTAGGATGGCTTGCTCTTGAACAGTCTACGGTTACTTCACTTATACCAGTGGTTCTCAGCCAGGAGCAAATATGCGCCTTGCCTCCCAAGAAACATCTAGCACCGTGCAGAGATATTTTTGGTTGTCACAACTGAGGTGAGGGGGCTGCTACTGGAGTCTAGTAGGTAAGGACCATAAATCCTATAATGCATGGGGAAGCCCTCCAAAACAAAGAATTAACAGGCCCAAAATGTCAGTGGTGCCAAGGTTGGAAACTCCACCCTGTACCATTGCATTAAATACTCACAAAACCTTCTGAGACAGAAAATCAGGGAGATAATTGCTGCCATTTTACAGAAAAAGAAATTGAGGCTCATGATAAGTAAAATAGCTTTCTCCACACCAGAATGTGGATGAGGAACAAAGACCAGGATACTCTTTTCCCATACTCTCCTCTCAAAGAAGATGGGGAATGGCACCTGTTCAATGGCTGTCGCCCTCACTTTCGGTTAAGAAATGCTTTCAACCCTACACAAAAAAATCTTTAACATTGAAATTAGTAACACATGGTTAAAGGAGAAAATGTGTACTTGAATGTTGAGGAAATATTTTTATTACATTCATTCATTCATTTATTCATTCATTCAGAGATGTACTGAGGACAGACGGTCCCTTCCCCATTCCCTCCCCCATGAGGAAAAGGGGGCTTTTGCCTTGTTGCCTTAACTCATTCAATGGGAAGAGATTTCACTTCTCGCCTAGAGGCAGAGGCAGCTGGAAACTCTCAGAGGTAGAGACTCAGCCTCTCACCCAGCTTCCTCAGGTTCTGGAGGCTACTGAAGAGCACCCTGAAGGTTCTCCCAATCCTCAGTGTTGGGAGAAAATTGGGTAAGTTGTTACCAGGAACACTGACAGGCCCAGCTCCTCCTGGGGTGAAATGAAACTTGAAGGAAGGGCAGAGGGACTCATGCTTGAGCAAGAGTTTTACCCTCACATCAAGAGAACCAGGGCATCAGAGGGTGCCAGTCCAAACAGGTGTCAGCAACCCTACCTCACCAATGACAGCCAGAGTAGCAAGCAAAAAAAAAAAAAAAAAAAAAAAAAAAAAAAAAAAAAAAAAAAAAAAAAAAAAGCAGGGCAGGGGTTGGGGAGGAATCAGAGATGTGTGGACCATTGCATGAACCAACTCATTCCCTCACATCCATCCATACCCACTGGGACAGGCATTCAGGCACTGAAGACAGGAGAAGGGAGAGCCGGCAGCCAGGTCCTCGTCTTCTGCCTGAGGCCAGTACAGTAGAACAGAAGTTCCACCCAGTGGGGATGGAAGACTTTAAACTGGGCAAGAAGGAGAAGTAAGAATACCTAAGTGCAGTTAATGACTACCGACCAGAAATAAAACTTTTAAAACAGAAGTGCATGGAAGTTATCAGATCAGACTAAAATAATATTAAGCAAAGTTGGTCATAGTTAGAGGGGGCAAGAAAAGATAATCATTCCATGTTTATACCTCACCAAGCTGAGATTTCTCAACCTAACTTATATAAAGAGGCATTGTACTGACTTAGAATGGCTATAAGAAACACAGGTCTTTATTATATGGTCCTCATTTGAAATGTGGCTTGGGGCATGTGTGCCCTCCCTTAAGATTTATAGGAAAAAAAAGTTTTACCTAATTAAGCATAAACTATACCCTAGGTTCCCCACCTTCCCACCACTACTGTGAATATGCTACATGTCCTACTGCTATATGTCCTAATAGTAGGCATCATTAAAAATTGTAAATGAAATTTAATGTAATTGGTTTAATTATTTTGAACTATTCAAGCTTAATCCCATTAAATCGATTGCATGAAACTGGGCAATGAGGAGCCCTTCCTAGTAAAAGGAAAACACGTACTAATACACATACAAAGACTTCAAATACACATAACACATTTTGGTTAGAATCAAACTGAATACTAACATGCACCCTCTCAACTCAAAATTATTAATAAAAAACTCTTAG